AAACTGAGCCCCAGGGACGGAAAGTTGCTTCCCAAGGTCACACAGAGAGGAAGGACAGAATTGGAATTTGAATCTTGGTCAGCCTAACTCACGGCGGCTCATGCTAGAAGCAGTTTTGGCTATAAATCTGTTTTGCACATTTATAGAGAGGAAGCAAGGCTCAGAGAGGAGGGGGAGACTAGTTGGTCGTGCAGCTGATAGAGACCTGGCATGGTCAGAGCCTGGACGTATCACACCTCAGAGTTGCTCTAGCCAAACTGTACCGTTCATTCTTCATTTACCTTTAACCAGTCAGCATCTATATAGCAAATACTATGAATGTTGCTAGCACAGAAATATTTATGCTTAGGGAAGGGGCAAATGGGTGCCCTTGACAGAAGAACTCTAATCTTTAAAAACTTAGATCCAAGACTGGGTGTAGCTCAGTGGTGGAGCATTTGCTTAGCACATGAGAGGCCCTAGATTCTATCCCCAGAACTGTCAAAAAATGAAAATAAAGCTAGATCTAAACAATGGAGGGCTGGGGATGTGGCTCAAGCGGTAGCGAGCTCACCTGGCATGCATGCGGCCAGGGTTTGATCCTCAGCACCACATACAAACAAAGATGTTGTGTCCGCCAATAACTAAAAAATAAATATTAAAATTCTCCCTCTCTCTCTCTTTCTCTCTCTCTCTCTCTCTCTCTAAAACAAAAATGGAATATTACTCAGTCATAAAAAAGAATGAATCTCTGAACCATGTCACAATGTGGATGAACCTTGATTGCACAATAATGTAAATGTATTTAATCCCTCTGAGTCATACATTATTTATTTATTTATTGTGTGGTACTGGGGATTGAACCTAGGGAAAGGTTCAATTAAGCTACATTCCCAGACCTTTTTTTTTTTTTTAATATTTTTTTCCTGGTTGTCGATGGACCTTTATTTTACTTATTTATATGTGCTGCTGTGAATTGAACCCAGTGCCGCACACATGCTAGGCAAGCTCTCTACCACTGAGCTACAGCCCTTTTTTTTTTACCTTTTTATTTTTTTCAGAGGGTCTTGCTTAGTTGCTGAGGCTGGCCTCTAACTTTCAGATCTCCTGTCTCAGCCTCTTGTGTAGCCACCATGTCCAGTTGAATTGTAGTTTAAAATGATAAATTTGACCTGGGGAGTGTAGCTCAATGGTAGAGTATCCGCTCAGCTCAATGGTAGAGTATCGGGGAGTGATACTGTGGGTTCAATCCTCAGCACCAAAAACAAACAAACAAACAAATAAAAAGTAAATGTTATGTAAATTTAACCACAATAAAAAGCAGATGGGGAGGAGGCACCTGCCCTGCCTTCCTTCCCGAGGTCCTTGTGTTTCAGCTGTGATAGGCTGTGCTGGCGGAGCCTCCTGGTCCTCTGTCCCCTGTCCTACCTACATCTGTGTGTGTATCTTTGAGCATTTCTCAGAGTCTCAGACAGGAAAAGGGGCAAAATCATTTCCTCCGGATTATCAAAGAGGGGAATGGAACATTTGAGAGATGAGGGAAGAGCCCAGGTGAGCAAGGGGCAGCCCGGAAGGCCAAGGCGACACACCAAGGAGCAGCTATGTCACAGAGGAGAGATGGAGGTTAGGGATCATAGCTGATGTGAATGTCTGTGGGTGACAGCAGTGTCACCAGCACCCAAATGGCATGTGCTGCCTGGTTGGGGAGGCCAGTGAGAGGGAGGAGGCTGTGGTTGGCGCTGTGGGGCTGAGTATGGGAACTAAGTGAGCTCCACCTCCCCAAGTCCAGGTTCAAGCCCTCTCCCTGTGGCTGGTAAGAGTGAGATCCTGGGCAAGCCATCGCTTCGTCCTGTGCCTCAGTTTCCCCACCTAAATTGGGAATGATTGACAGTTCTAATCTTCTGGGTTGCTAGGAGACAGAAATGGGAAGGGAATGCCTGTGCAGAGGCTGCTGTCTTGTGGCTGTTCATTTTGGAGGCTGCTGGGGAAACTGAGGCTCAGGGAGACAAAATCATGTGCCTGAGGTTGGACAGCGTGGGTAGGGACCAGGTGGGAGCCCAGATCCATGGCCACTGTGCTAAGCTGACCCCCGCTGCTCCTGTACTCCCCCTCCCACCCCACCCCCGCTGGTGCCAGGGCGCCAGGGCTGAGCCGAGAGAGGCTGGCTGGCCTGGGGCCCGGGGCGCCTGTTGCTGGGGTCTTGAATGAAGCAACCTTGCCTGGGAACCTGCTGGGCTCAAAGAGCTATTTATAGGCCTGTTCTGGGATTGGCCAAGTGCCCCCCACCCCCATCTCTGAGTGCCTTCTCTGCCCCCCTGCCCCTCCCCAGTGGGGCTCTGGGCCAGGGGCCGCTGCCAATGAGATGAGGTGGGGGAGGGGACTGGGTGGGCTAAAGCAGAGTCTGGGAAGGAGGCTGGACCCTCCCGGAGAGCTGGTCTCAGGAGTGACCAGTATCCCGCAAAGTGCTTCCGAATATCCCCAAGGTGACACACGGACAAGTCACAGACAATGTCACCAACCTCCACTGACACACAGTCACACCAACAGCAAATCAGTTCACATACAATTTCACTTGGCAACAGCCACACACAACCACTCTCGTACACACACAGGTCACAGATGTGAGCCCGGGGACCGAGAATCTCTTTGCACCTGGACCACGCTGCTCATATCAGGCCATGTTTACAGCCACGGGCCCACCCACAGGCGGCTAGCCCATGACCCTGTTCACTTTGCACCAACGTCACCAACACCATGATCCAGAGTCCTCCCAGGTGCTGTCTCACACTCAGACCCAGGTTCCTTCACATCCAGCCACCCCTTCTCCCACTGTCATTATGTCCCTTTCCCAGGGGAAACCAAGGTTTGGAACCATCCGAGGGCCTTTCCTGCCCTGCTCCAGGATGGCAGACTCATGGAGAGTGGGACCTGTTTCCTAGTGGGTCCTCAGTGCCTCCTCAGAAGCAGTGACACAGATAGAGCCCTGCCGACCCAAATTTGCTGTGTGACTTCAGCAAATCCCGGACCCTCTCGGAGCTTCAATTCCTCCCCTGTAAAATGCAGAACTCAGTCCACTAGAGGGAACTCCAGAGTCAGACTGGGGATTGTCTCCCCGGATGATCTTGGCCAAATAACTTTGCTTTTTGGTGACTCAGTTTCCCTTAGAGAGCCAGAGGAGCAGGACCGGGCTCCCCTAGCACTCTCCCGGCCTCATCCCCTGGGTTGGGAGGAGTGGGGAGGGAGTTCTTAGTCGGCCTCACTAAGGCGAATGAATGGACCACTTTTGGCTGTCTTGCTGGAAACTCAGAGCTGCTAATTCCCTAGAGGAACAGGAGGCTCTTTCATGCTTAGGCGCCAGTGGGGTGAGGAGGCGGGAAGAGAGTAAGGAGCTGGCCTCATCCCAGTGGCCAAGGTGGCTCTACGCCAAGCCCAGGAGTGATATGGAGGGCCCTGGGGCCATGCATATCCTCACAGGGGAATCTTGGTCAAGTTGCTGTGTCCCCTGCTATAAAATGAGAGTGACACAGATCAACCAATGGCGGTTTAATGAGCCAATGGGTGGAGACGAAAAACACAGTGGGGTCTCACCAAGTGTCATCCACTGTTGTCATATGTCAACCCAAGGATTCTACTGTATCCTCCAATAGGCCTATGAACAGAATTTTCCCCCTTCACAGATGAGGGAACTGAGGCTCAGAGAGGTAGAGATGTTTGTCTAAGGTCACACAGCTAGTGAATAGTCCAGCCAAGATTTTAATTAGATCTGGGCTCTCCAGGATCCAAGATCTTCCTAATTTCTGATGAGAGTGGGATGTTTCCTGCCATCTTCAGCCTCAGCCCTGAGAGCAGCAAAGCTGGGTCTGGCACCAGACCATAACAGAAGGCAGGAAGTCCTGGCGGTCAGGAACTGATGGGACAGCCCTTCCGCTGGTGACCCAGTTTCCCTGCCAGCCCCGGCTCCTGAGATGTGCTCGGGAGACGCCAGTAGGATGCCAGGGGACCATCCCCCACTCCCTTGAAGAAAGGGGCTGGATCCCAGACCATTCAGCTAAAGCTAGGGACAAGAGTCCCCTGCCAGTGGCTGCCCTGTCTTGGAAACCTCCATTTGTATAGACTGGATAGAGTCATGCCCTTTCCCAAACACTGCTCCAGGCCCAGCAGGATATGGCTCCACATTTTTATTCAAATCCTTGGTCTTTAATCCAACTAGGCCTTTCCTTGTGCTTTTCCCCCTCCCTGAAACACCCTCTCCATCCCAGATCCCCCCTCCCGGGAAGCTTCCTTCAGGTGGACTCCCTGTTTCCCCACCTCTGTCCCTTCCTGTGTCTCAGCCCTGACTGCATGCATAGGTGTTTTGCCCAGGTGGGGGCTCTTTAGGGATGAGGCTAAAGCTGAGGCCTCTCATCATCTCCAGCATCACCCAGGACAGGGGTGGGCACAGGAATGGCAGTATATGGTGACAGGAGTTATCTAGTGAATCAGTGAACCAAATTTTTGGCCTAGTAGCTGAGGCTTTGTGTAATCTGACCTAGCAAACTCCTATTTATCCTTCAAAACCCGCCTTACATGACCATTTCTTCAAGAAGCCTTCCTCAGAAGCATTTGCCGGAAAGACAGATTTGGAGGCCAGGTCTCTTGCATCTCAGGGCACATGGGGTTGATGGGAATTACTGATGCTCCCAACATCATAGTCTCTTCCTCAACTCTTCCATTAGCCTCTCTGAGTCAGTGAGATGCAGGGGTTCCCAGCCTGCATTGGAGGTTAGCAGACTCCCCCAGTAGGAAGACATGATTATAGGAAGTTTGTGGGATTTGAAAAACCAATACTTTATAGCCGGCATTTTCACCAAGAAATGGTACCAGGTGACACACAACTTGCATTCTTCCAAATCCAAGGGGAACCTCAACCACAGGGCGAGAGCCCTTTAAAAGGCGGTCACGAAGGGGCCAGCGTCCAGCCCCGCCCCGCCCCAGGAGCAGTGGCTGGGCGGAGCCCTAGTCACATTGCGCATGCGCTATGCCCACGCGGTTCCTGGTCCTGGACTCTGGTTCCTAAAGCTACTGACCGGGAAAGTGAGGCTCAGGCGGGGAGGGGCGCCCCCCAAACCCCGGGGGAACCTGTTTCCTTTCCTTGGATCCGCTGTGAAAGGCTGGGTCCCCGGCCATCGGCATCTTCCCTGAGCCTCCAATTTTTCCAGCAAGGGGGTGATCGAGGCGACATTTAGGACTTGGGCGTGAGAGAGAGTGGCTGTTCTTGGTCCCTAGTTACATGAGGACCTGCAAACTAGGGGTGTAGCCTAGGTGACGCCCGCCTTGGCTGAGGTGGCGCCGGGATTTGGACCCGAGTCCAGCAGAGTCCAGCCTTGGGTTTCGCGAGGCCCTGGAGAACCAAGATGATCCACTCTTTGGTTTGTCCGGAGACAGTGAGCAGGTGAGAGCCCGAGAGCCCTGGCGGCGAGTCCAGGGGTGGTGGGCACTGGGGTGGCGGAAGGACCTGTGGCGGGGAGGGGCCGGGCTCGGGCTCCGTGGGGGAGGGGGGCAGTGGTGCCCAGAACTGGGCTTAACCCTTCATCGACCTGGTGCCTCCGAGGGTGAGTTCGGTGCTGAATCGCAACAGCCGGCAGTTTGGAAAGAAGTATCTTTTTGACCAAGACGAAGAGACGTGCTGGAACTCGGACCAGGTGAGGTGCGGAGGTCCAGAGTGCCTTGAGAACTTGGGGGAACCCGAGGTGGGCAGGGAAGGACTCTGTGCTGACTTTCCCGTCTCCCCACTGTGTGAGTCAGGCATAGCCACGCTCCCATCGAGGAGTGATCGTGGGCCTCAGTTTTCCCTTCTGTTTTTAGGGCCCCTGCCAGTGGGTGACACTGGAATTTCCCCAGCGCATCTGTGTCTCCCAGCTGCAGATCCAGTTCCAGGGGGGCTTCTCCAGTCGCCGGGCCCGCCTGGAAGGTACTGGAAGGTCCTGGGAGGCGGGGGTTCCAGGGGCCGATATCCTGTACTCACTGTATGCACCTTTCTCTGCTGCAGGGTCACAGGGGAGTGAGGCCCTCCACAACATTGTGGACTTCTACCCCGAGGACAACAACTCCCTTCAGATATCCTGCCCTGGCCTCTGGGGTGGGAGGATCTGTGCCTCTAAAAGCTTTGAGCCCACCTCGACCTGAGTGGGAAACTTGCCATATTTTGAAAAGTGACCTCCGGGTCTCCACTGCATAATCTAGAAAATGGGTCTGCTCTGTGTGATGCTCAGAGGGGTTCACATCTTGCTAGGGTCACCTAGCACACTAATGGGGTCTGAGCTGGGTTTGGGAAAGGTAGGGAATGGAGGGTGGAAAACAAAGCACTGCCATTTCCCTTGACTGCTTGTGCTCAAACATTCTCTGTGCCGGCTGCTGAGGTGGACCGCTTGAAGGTGACATTTGAAGACACCACTGACTTTTTTGGCCGTGTAGTCATCTACCACTTGAGGGTGCTGGGGGAGAAGAAGGTCTGAGACCTCTGGGGGTGGGGGCACACCTCTCAAGGAAGCCCTCAGGGAATCACAGCAAAATCCTTTAATTTCTGCACAGAAGGTTTATTGGTTCCTCTTGGGAAGGGTCCCCTCCCACTGCCTGTCCAGGAGCTGCCTTTGAAGCCAGTTCTGGGTTCTCCCAGCTCTGGGCCGACCATTTGGTTCCCTGAGTGTCTTCGTCCCCACCAGGCAGCCTTCACTCTGGGTCAGTGGGCCCCAGGTTGCTGTGGAACAGTTTGAGGATGTGGTTCTCAATTACCTGTTGCACTGGAGATGGGTGGGGAAAAGGTAGCCGTTGGAAAGGAAGCTGCAGAGTCAACAGGCAGCATCCCAACCTGCACCATTGCCCTGGGGATGAACCAGGGCTTTACAGCACTGGGGCCTGGATGGAAGGCCCCCTATACAGACAACAGGATCCGTGCCCCTCCCAGAAACCTCAGCTTCCCCTGAGTTTGTAAAAATTCCCTTCCTTTCTTCCTTCCTCCCTTCTCTTTCTTTCTTTAGTGCTGGGGATGAAACTCAGGGCCTCACGGGACAGGCATGTGCTCTACAACGGATCCTCACTCCTGGCCTCAGAAATGTGTTCCCTGCCCCCTTGTGGTACCAGGAATCAGACCCAGGGGCACTCTGAGCTATAGCCCCATCCCTTCTTATTTTTGAGACAGGGTCTCACTAAGTTGCCCAGGCTCGCCTTGTAATGCATTTCTTGAGCCTTTTGGAGTTATAAAAGACTTCTTACCAAACAAAATGGGTGAGTGTGCTTTTTATGAAAATAATATAGGGTCTGTGAGGGATGATTTCCATCTCATAGAATAAAACTCTCCAAAGGGAGGTAGGATATTTTCTGAGCCCATCCTCCACCAACCAAGAGGATTCGTGGTCAGGATGTTCCCATGTCAAACTTGGGTTTGCTTATGGCCCCTGCTCATACCTACCTCCTGCCATGGACAGGATCAGGCTCCATGGCCCCATGCACTGTGGCCCAGCCCAATTCCCTCTTGGTGTTCTGGCCCTGGTAAGCTTCTGTATCCTTCACTTATTTGGACACAGTGCAGTCCTTCTAAAGTCCCCCAGAAGCCCACCCTGACCACCTTGCTGTTTGGTGTGTGGCCTGTGTACACAAGCGCACCCACATGCACAGGCAGGTGTGCATAAGCTGAAACTTGGGATCTGCTGTCTCTAGTAAATACACCTTGAGGCTTGGTCCCAATGCAGCGGTGTTGGGAGGTGGGGGCAGAACCTTCATGAATGGATCAATGCCTTTCTCACTATCATGGGACTGGGTTGTTTACTGTGAGAACAGGTTGTTTTAAATTTTAAAGCAAGGCTGTCCTTCATGTTTTGCTTCTTGTACACACACACACACACACACACACACACATGCTGCCCTTCTACTTTCCACTGAGGCGCAGCAATATGAGGCCCTCACCAGATGTGGGCACCCAATCTTGGGTTTTCCAACCTCCAGATCCATGAGCCAGAATAAGTCTCTTTTCTTTATATTATATATTACCCAGTCTCAGATATTCTGTTATAGCAAAAGAAAATGGACTAAGATACATTAAGATAGATGCCCATCAAGGCTGGGTTGGGGCCTCCTTTGGGCTTCTCCGTGCCTAGGCTCCCCCTCATGGCTCTGGTCACTGGTATGCACTGGTGTGTCTATCCTCTCAGGTGACAGCACCGAGAGCCAGGATGTGCTCGGGCCAGGGACACAGTGGTGCTCCATGTCTGCTAACATGAACACACTTGCTGCCGGCATCTAACAAGTGAGGGATTTATCCCATGTATCCATTTGTGGTCACCCACCTACGAGTCCTCACCACTACCCCATGTCTCAGGCCTACCTTTCCGGTATCCCAGAGCCACGGCGAGGTCCATAGGGGTGTAGCCAGAGTCTGCCTCAGTGGTGAGATCAGCACCCCGGGCTGCAAAGCAGAGCAGACATTGGGGTGGGGCTGGGCCGGGGGCTAGAAGCCCAGAATGGGACTTGGGGACTCAAGAGGGCCAGTGGAGATGCCTCATGGTACAGCCATGCGTTGGCCCATTGCCTGCATGACCTTGGACAAGGGTCTGGCCTCTTCAAGCTTCAGTCTCCTCCAAAGATTATGGCTCTGGAGTCCCTGAGACTGAGAGAGCAGGGGCTCGACTCAGCCAGACCCAGACCCCCATGCTCTCCTACCACCTCCTGCTCCAAATCCACCTCCAAGTAAAGCAGGTCGTGACAAGCCATTCAAGAGCTCAGGGTTCCCACAGGGCCAGATAGGGACCTGGGGCCTCCTGGGCTGGTCTCTACTCTTACTTACCCAACAAGGCCTCAACACACTTCACATGGTTCCCACGCACAGCGTACAGCAGTGGTGTCCCTCCATTCTGTTGGGGGGTGAAGGCATGGAGAAACGAATGCTCTATCTTTTTCCACTCCTCACCATGCCTCAAAATCTCTGGCTTCCAATTGAATATGGTACCTCTTCCTGCTCATCACCTCACCCATCTTTCTCCTTCTCTGTTTCTCAACTTAGATGTCCCTTCCTCCATGAAGCCCTCCCTGACCCACCTTGGCCACCTTTGAGTTCCTGGGGCTGCCTGTGCGCCTGCCTTCACGGTACTATTCATTATCTCTCCATTGCCTGTTTATGTGTCTGTCTTCCCCAGACTGGGAGCTATACAAGATGTGAGAGTGAGTCTGTTTTGTGTTCCTAGCACCCAGAACAGGCCCAGAACCTTCCAGATGCTCCATAAATATTAGAGGGCAGAAATGGAGGTCAAGCCGCCCTGAGGGGCCTGGGTGGGTGGCACCTCACCCAGTCATAGATGTTGATGTCCACGTCACGCTCCAGCAGCAGCCCCACAATGTCCGTGTAGCCACCCATGCTGGCCAGTGACAGGGCGCTCTCCCGCTCCTTGGCAAGGATGTGGGGGTCGGCACCCTGGGGGGGAGCAGAGTGGCTAGTGATGGGAGACATGGGGACATTCCCTGGGATCCTAGAGTCCCCCAACAGAGCAGCCCCATCTCATGGACAAGGAACCAGAAGAAGAAGCTGAAACTTCAGCCAGCCCTCAGGTCCCCAGGAAGCCCCCAACTAGGCTGAGACGCACCCACTCGAGCAAGAAGCGGACGGTCTCGATCTCTCCAAAGGCAGAAGCCCAGATGAGGGGAGTGAAGCCACGCTCATCCGGCTTGTTGATGAGGTTGTCACCTGGCAGGTGGGAGTGGTATCACCAGATTGTACCCCTGCCCTCTCTCCCCAATGTCACCAGAGTAGAGATAAGACAGGGCCTGGGGTTGGACGTGGCAGGGAGTTAAACACATGTGGATGCACGCACATGACATACTCACATGCACGTGTGGACACAGGCACACGTGCGGGCACTCACGGCCATCATCACTGTGAGTGGGCATGCAGAGCCCATGTGCCCGCACCAGACAGGCCAGCACATGTGTGTGGACACGCACCTTTCCTCAGGTGTTCCTTCAGTTGGCTCAGCTCCCCCTGGGCAGCAAGCTGGTGGATGGACAGGGCTGGGGGCCAGAAAGAGGCAGAGTCCTCTTTTAATCCGTGGCCTCTCAGAGCCTCAGCTTACCCATTCAAAATGGCTCCTCTCTGCTCCTCCCACCATCCTAAGGCCCTACTCACAGTCTAAGGTGGCTGGCAGGGCCGAGACCTCATTCCCTCGCTGCCGGTTGGTGAGGGTCGTAGAGTGCTTCAGGGAGTTGCCTGTCGGGAGAGAGGAAGGGTCTCAGGTTCCCCTTGGTACATGTCACTGGGGCTTCCAGACAGATCCTCGAGGCTCAGATTTACCAAAGTTTGTGCCTGAGACTCTACGGGTTCCTCACTCCACCCGCTTGGGCACCCAGGTTCATTTTTGTTCTCCAGGCCTGGTGATGTTCCCAGCTCACAAAACAAAGTCCCTGCATTCAATGAGCCCACAGGCAAATGCATCAGACATAGAGAAGTAGAATAAATGGAACAGAATAAAGCCGCAAGTTGAAATAAATTATCAGAAGAAATAAAAAGTCAATAAAAGAAGTTAGAAAGGAGGAGGCAGGAGATGGGTCCATTTCAGACAAAATGGTTGAGGGTGGTGGCTCTGGGTTGATGCCAAGTCACATCCTGGCAAGTCCAAGAAACTAGCATTAGGCGAATGTTGGGGAAAGCATTCCTACACAAAGATCCTGGGACAAGAAAAATTAGATACTTTCAAGGACTTTACTCAAAAAGTAACCCTCAGTTTCTCAATAAGTTAAACAGGGTCACCATTTGGCCCCAAATTCCATGCTTACATATCCATGCCAAAGAGCTGAAAACAGGTGTTCAAACAAGCACTGGTATACCAACATAACAGAAGGATTCACAGTAGTCAAAAGGGGAACAACCCAGGTGTCAACCAATGGATGATGGATAAACAAAAGGGTGGCCCACAGGCACAGTGGTGCACACCGGCAATCCCAGCAACTCAGGAGGCTTGAGGTCAGAGAACAATAATGGAGTAGTATTCATCCATGAACAGGAATCAAGGCCTGATCCTGTGATCCATGTTACAACACAATGAATCCTGAGTACATGATGAATGAAAGAAAGCACACACAAAAGTCCATCTAGTGTACAATTTCATTGATAAAGACAATCAGAACAGGCAAATCCATAGAGATAGAAAGCAGATAATTGATTGTCAGGGGCTGAGGGAGGGGAAATAAGGAGTGACTGGTCATGATAACAGGGTTTCCTATTGGGGTGATGAAAATATTCTGGAACTAGATAGAGATGATGGTTGCACAACATTGTGAATGTGCTAAATGTCACTGAATTGTATTGCAATTCTGATTCTAACAGTAAATTTCAGGTTATGTATATTTTTGCCACAATAACAAAATGTAAGAGCTGGGCACACACCTGCAATCTGGCTACTTGGGAGGCTAAGGCAGGAAGAGCAAAGTCTGAAGCCCGCCTGGGCAACTTGGTAAGACCCTGTCTCAAAATAAATAATAAAAAGGAATGGGCATGTAGCTCAGTGGTGGAGCACCCCTGGATTTAATTCCCAGTACCCAAACAAAAACAAAACCCCAGAAAACAAAGTTGTAAAAAACAAATAAACCACTCTTGGAGGGTGGAGGGAAGAGAGAAGATGTCCTAAGTAGTGGGTCACAAAGACAGAAGTTTCATCTGGGGCTCAACATCCCACCATCATCAAATCCCAGGGAGCCAATTCCAGAGGTGCTATCTTACCCTGTAGTGAACAGACACTGGCATCTGCTTCAGGCTCTGGGGTGCAGGGGAAGAGGCTAAGGACTACAGTGTCTGAGCCATCCGGGGTTTCAACACCATGGTCTTCAGGGTCCCCAAGTTCTGGGGTGGGAGACTGCTGGGTAAGAATGAGGTCCTCTGCAGGCTGGGTGGGATCCATAGGGAAAGCTGGTGGAACCGCTAGAAGGGAATAGATAATTAGCAGCAACTTTAATTAAGTAGTCACTTATGGGGTGGCTAAACTGAGATTCAGGATAATGGTCAGTGTTTGGATTTTAAAATCAGAGTCCATTTACTTTATAGGCCCACTCTTCCCCACCATCAAGACACCTGCAACATCCATGCTTTAATGCCTGGGCTCTGAAATCAGCTGTCAGGGTTCTAATCCACCCCCCCCTTATTGACTGAAAACTAGGGCATGTGATTTAACCTTGCTGAGCCTCAGTTTCCTCCTCAATAAAAGGAAGGAATGAGGCCTAAAAGAAATCATGCCCATAAATAGCACAGTAGAACGCCTGATGCAGCTAGAGCTCAATAAACATTCCCTCTGGTTGTTTGGTGGGGGTACCCCGAAATGAGTTAGGGCTCAACAAAAGATGCGATTGTTTCCAGTCCCACCGGCGCCTCTCAAACCGATCCGGAAGGTCCACTCACCTCCTACTCACCTCCTCTGTCCCCCCCGCGCAGTAAGCACGGGTCTCCCAAAACTTGGGGACCCAATTCATAAACTTTTCTTCTTCAATGGATGTAGCGGGGAGCAGGTTGGAGTCTGGACCCTCAACGCTCCGGTTTTCTCTGTCCGGACAGTGCGCAACTTGATACACGACTGCTACCCCCACCTCAATACTCCCCCACTGCGCCTGCGCACCCCCGCCCCCCAAAAGTGCTGAAGAGCCGGAGCAGCAGGATAAGCTTCTAGCCCTTTAAGACTTGGGGGAGGGGCGTGGCTTCCGCCGGTGCCTAATCAGCGCAGTTGCGCCTGCGCGTTCTCTGCACAGCAGTTTGGCTGGGCGCGGAGGGCGGGGCCTCAGAGATCTCTGAAAAATTCATTGCGCTTGTGCTTCCTCATTCCCAGCTCCGCCCACAGATTTTTCACAAGAAACCAATCGGCTCCAGTACGAGTCGACAGGCGGAGCTTTCTCAAGACGGAGGGGTGGGGAGAAGAGGGCGGGGCGTCTGAAATTTAAAGGGTCGACTTAGATCTGTTGTCCCCTTTCACAACACAGTCCTTTCTGTATTACTAGGAACTTATGAACTTGTGCAGGGAGGGACTTAGTGGCAGTAGGGGGGGAAAAGGAGGGCATTTTTACGTCCTAAGTGGGCGATGCGTGGTGTTTTTCTTCCAACTCGACTGCTGAGGGCAAAGGGGGTTTGGGAATTGAGAGTTCTTGCTTCTCCACCTGGTGTCTGAGGGGTATCTCTTCCCCCTCAACCGCCCTCAGGGCACCTCTTTCCCCTTAATCTCTCACTTTAAGCCCCTCTCCTGTCCCTGTAGGAGGAGGAGCAGGCAGGGCAAGCCGGAACTGGAGGCCTGCCGCGTCCGGTTTCCGTAGGGAAAGTTTAAGCAGAAGTCCCAGCCTCTGGACTTCCTGTTCCCGTTCTCTGGTTCTGCTAGCTGCCGTCGCTATGGAGGAACCAGAGATGCAGCTCAAGGGGAAGAAAGGTGGGGCAGGGCCCCGGACAGGATGGAGGGGTACAGAAACTCTTGGAGACTCGAATTGAGAAAGGGCCGACATAGCAGAGGCACGGAGGGAGTGTGTGGTGGTGGGCAGTGACTGAACTGTCATGGAATGCCAGCTCGCCCACTGACTAGTTTTGAAACCTTTAAAATCTCTGTGCTTCGTTTTGATATCTGTAGAATGGGAGGAGGTATATTTCCTCGTAGGATTGTTGTGGCGTGTCAATAACCGGATATTGGTAATAAATTGGAAGAATGTTAGGGGCGTGGTAATCGCTGTGCGGTTAGTGTCCTTAAATCGTATAGTTGGAGTGCCACGAGCTACTTTTATTTTTATCTTATTTTTTATTGGCGGGGGGTACCAGGGATTGAACTCAGGGGCACTCTACCACTGAGCCACACCCCCAGCCCTATTTTGTATTTTATTTAGAGACAGGGTCTCACTGAGTTGTTTAGCATCTCCTCCTTATCCAGGCTGATTCTGACCTCGAGATCTTCCTGTCTCAGCCTCCCGAGCTGCTGGGATCACAGGCGTGTGCCACTGCGCCCGGCTTACATTTATTTTTGAAAAACATATTTAAAAAATGTTTGGTGCTAGGTATCGAATTTGAGGTTTCAAATATTAGACAAGCACTCTACCGCCGAGCTACACTCTCAGCCCTCACAAGCTTTTAAAATTATAAACGTTATTTCACAAGGTACTTCTAATTATTTAGAAGACACAAGTACATTTAATTCTCTTTTCTCATTAAAAATACGTTATGAATTACTACTATGCTAATTTTCAATCCAGGAGGACAAAAGGGAAAAAGTTACCCTCTTTTTCCCTGGGGCCAAGCTGAAGAAAAAGTATGCATTGCCCACTTGGGATTGTATAAGCAACCTCCTTTTGTCCCCCCTGCTACCATCATGTCCTTGCACATGCTCATAAGAGTTTAGAACAACAGAAGGGACATTGTTATGGAAGGACCAGGCCAGTCACCCTTTAAATTCCTTTCCCCCCTCTTCTCCCTCCATTCAGGACACAGTGGTGAGCTAGACCAACCCACATAGATCAGAGTCCTGTGTGGCTTCCCTTGACTCAGACACTTAAGTTCTCACCATGACAGTCACAGTGGGCAACAGCATTGGATCTACCTCTGTAGCAAACCGTGATGGGCACTATTATTTAATTTTTACGGATGAGGAAACAGACTTAGGCCCCTGCCTCATGAATTCAAGCTTTGTTTTTTCTTGTGAACATGTAAAGTAATAAATCACAATAGATATAAGAGAAATGAACAACAGGGTGAGGTCCTGAATGAGGGAGAGGGTACAGCTGATTGAAAGTTGATGTTAGGGGGCTGGGATTGTGGCTCAGCAGTAGAGCACTCACCTAGCACGGGCAGGACCTGGGTTCGATCCTCAGCACCACATAAAAATAAAGGCATTGTGTTGTGTCCATCTACACCTAAAAAAATAAAATATTTTTAAAAAAAGAAAGTTGGTGTTAGGGAGAACCTTGCCCAGGGTATGACATTTGAGCTGAGACTTTGAGGGGTATATAGGAGCTAATAGGGAAAGGATGTCTCAAAGTAGGAAATAGGTGCAAAGGCCCGGTGGTGGCAACTTGTTCAGAGCTGGGCTGTGATATAGTAACTGTTGGTCTCATGTGAGTATTTAAATTTGAAGTGATTAGAATTAGGTAAAATTGAAAATTGAGTTCTTCAGCCACACTTGCCACATTTCAGGTGGTCAGTGCCCACATTAGCTAGTGGCCACCATTTTGGACAGTATTAATTACAGAATGTTTCCACTATCTTTTTAAACTTTTGAAAACTGCTGAAGGTACAGGGCAGGGAGGTTAACATCACCCAGAAGCAGAACATGCCGGGCCTTATGAGCCATGATAAGAGAAACAGATTTTATTCTCTGACTAGTAGGAGCCATGTGGAGGGTTTTAAGCAAGGAAAGACATGTGATAATGTGCCTTTGGTGTTCACTTCATCTGCTACATGGAGATTGAACTTGGCAGGAGGAGAAGTAGGGGAGACCACTGAGGAAGTGGGTCTAGCATCCGGGCAGGGAACTGTCATGCCTGGTCACTCACTGGGGTCTATGATGTGATTAGAGCACTTGCCTAGAATGCACCAGGCCCTGGGTTTTCCCCTGTACTACACAGAAAAAGAGTCGGGTGAGACATGGGCTTTGTTTTGTGGTAAAACCAGCAGATTCATGATGGGATAGGAAGAGTGGAAATTACTGGCTGTCTAGGAATGCCTTATGTTGAAGCAGACCTGGGAGAAGATGTGTGTGCCATTAATTACCAGGAGGAATGTGCAAGGGAGAAGGGGAAACAGGATGGGCTTAAGGGTGACCTCAGGTAAAATCCACAGAGGGAGACCTCTGCCTGGTCCTTCAGGGGGGCTTATAAGGATATATATGCCTCCAAGTTGTCCCAGCACTCACTGAGGGACAGACACAGGCTTGCATATGTTGCATTGGTCAGTCATGACTAAGGGCCATACAGGGATGGAGGCTTCCAGACCCTTTGGGTCCTGCAGACATTATCAGGCTTCTCATTGGGTTAAGGGGAGTTGAGGGGATCTGAGTGGGCAGATCAACTACAAGGTTGTTTGGAAGGGAAAAGACCAAATTCATAGTATGACAGTCCTGCTCTGTCTCCTGCCCATTCCTGTGGCTTCAGGTGACACAGCTGCTGGGGTAATACTAGGTGCTCCTCTCTGTTCTAACTGGGCTCACAGTTGAGCAAACAGAAGCCTAATGTTTTGTCCTCTTGTCCCTTCCCCCTCCCTACTGACTGTTGACCCTGGACCCAGTCACGGACAAGTTCACTGAGAGCGTCTATGTCCTGGCCAACGAGCCATCTGTGGCCCTGTACCGGCTGCAGGAGCATGTGCGCCGCTCTTTGCCTGAGCTGGCCCAGCACAAGGTAAGCCCCCACCAGCCTCTCTCTGCAATGGGCCTCTTTTGGTGTCTGCTGTGTGGAACAGGGGCTGTTAGGGCAGGAATTAAGTCGGGGCACCAGCAAGGAGGTATGTGGTAGCTGAGTCAGGTCAAACCATTGGTGGATAGATCTGGGGCAGGTTTTCAAGGAGATGTCACAGTCTGCATTAGTTATAACCTGAATAATAACTGAAAACCCCAGGGAAGGGTGTGCCAGGTGAAGGGAACAGCCATTGCAAAGGTCCTGAGGTGTGGTGTCCAGTTGTTCCAGAACATCCATGGAGAAAAAGGTTTCAGGATGAAAAGTCTCTGGTCACTGGGGGTGTGGCTCAGTGGTAGAGTGCTGGCCTAGCATGCTTGAGGGCCTGGGCTCTACTCCCCACACCACTAAAGGAAAGTAGAGAAACAATTGGGAGGAGCCCTCTGGGAGGTAACCTCCCCTACTAACAGTTCCCCTCAACTCCCTCAGGCGGACATGCAGCGGTGGGAAGAGCAGAGCCAGGGAGCCATTTACACTGTAGAGTACGCCTGCAGGTGAGCCACAGTCCCCGTTACCTGGCCAGCCTGCACTACTCTGGCCTCTGGGCATTCAGGGGCATTCCCAGCCTGCTACCCCATGAGCTCTGCCCTGCCCAATTCACCCTAATGGAGATGTGGTTGCTGCATCATGACTCACCTGGCCACCTGGTGGATTCCAGCCAGACCTGTGCACACTGAACCCCTGTCTTTCACAGGTCAGAGTGATAAAAGGATCCTGGGAAGGGCCCCCAGCATTTTCCAGTCCCAGCCAGGCTAGAGAGTGAATGACAGCTGGGGGTGGGTCAAAAACACAAATAAGGCTCTTTAGCTTTTTATTTAGCTTTCTCTAAATCTCCAGGTTACATTTGTAGTAAATGGAAAATTCCACAGATTCATTGCATGGACAAACCAAATTTTGCTAGGAAGGCAAGAAATTAAAATTCCTGAGTCAAGTTATTATTTTTGTTTTATTTATTTATTTTTAAATATTTTTTTAGTTGTCAATGGACCTTTATTTTATTTATTTATTTTTTCTTTTGAGAGAGAGAGAGAGAGAGAGAGAGAGAATTTTTTTTTTTTTTAAAGAGAGAGAGAGAGAGAAATGTAATATTTAGTTAGTTAGTTAGTTAGTTATTGGCGGACACAACATCTTTGTATGTGGTGCTGAGGATCTATCCCGGGCCGCACGCATGCCAGGCAAGCGCGCTACCGCTTGAGCCACATCCCCGGCCCTATTTTTGTTTTATTTTTGTTGCTGGGAGTGGAACTCAGGGCTTGAGAATGCTAATGAACAGATACTTTATCACTGAGCCACATCCTCAGCTCCTAATTTTTTTTTTCATTTTTTTTGGTGCTGGTGATAGAACCCAGGGCCTCCTACATGCTAGGCACATGCCCTACCCACTGAGCTACACCCCTAGCATGTCCCATATCTTTTGTTTCAAACAGATCAGCAGTATTAAATGGTTGGTATAAAATTGAAAGATGTTAAAAAATGGTCTAGAAATTCAGGAAAATGGTTCAGTGGTGAACTTGTATTAGCAAGATGTTTATCAAGATGGACAATCAAACACAAGAAAAGCTGACTTCATTTGGTGACATTAAGATGAGTGAATTAAGCTAGGCCCAGTGGCACGTACTATAATTCCAGTGGTTCAGGAGTTTGAGCCCAACCTTGACAATTTAACAAGCAGGACTGGGGCTGTAGCTTAGTGGTAGAACACTTCTGGGTTCAATCCCTAGCACCATTAAAAAGAAAAAAAAAGAGTGAATTAAGGGTTAGAATTATAATTTCATGGTAGAGCACTTGCCTACCATGTGAGAGAGCCTGGATTTCATTCTCAGCATCACTGTTTTAGTCAGCTTCTTAACCACTGTGACTGAAAGTCCTGACAAAAACAAAGTAGTGTAGGAACAGTTTATTTGGAGCTCATGGTATCAAGCCATAGAGGGCTGACTCCATTGCTCTGGGCTCTAGGTCAGGCAGAATATCATGGCAGGAAGGTGGGAGGAGGAAAGCAGCCCAGTACATGGCAACCAGAAAGGGGAGAGAGAACTCTCCTTACCAGGGACGAAATATAAACCCCAAAAGGCATGCCCCAGTGACCCACTGCCTCCAGCTACACCCTTCATGCTTATAGTTAATCCTGCCCAGTTAATCCTTTCAAGTATATCACTGCACTGATTTGGTTAAGGTTCTCATAACCTGATCTTTTCTCTTCTGAACTTTCTTGCATTGTTTCATTCATGAGCTTTTGGGGGACACTTCACATCAAAAGCATAACAGCCACAAAACAAAACAAGAAAAGATGAGCCAGTTAAGATTCACCTTTTATCACCATCTTACAACTTTGGCCCACAAGCCAGCCTATTTAGCATAAGCATAATCAGGGGTAACAACCAGAACCCCAATTTCATTTGCCATTTTCACGCATGTTCTTGACTGATAATAAATGGGAGTAATCTTTTTTATCTCAGTAGTGGTTCTAGGGATCGACCCCAGGGCCTTGTGCATGAAAGGATTCCAGCCAGACCTGTGCACACTGAGCCCCTCTCTTTGACAGGTCAAAGTGATCCCCGGCCCTCTTTTTTGTTTTGTTTTGTTTTTTAATAGGAGAAATTTAAAATGACTCTTTGGGGCTGGGAGTGTAGCTCAGTGGTAGAGTGCTTGCCTCACATGCACAAGGCCCTGGGTTCCATCCCCAACACCACAGAAATAAAAATAAAATGACACTTTTGTTTTTTTCTGCAGATAATGCCACTCAAGCAACTTTTTGGCACAGCAAGACACTGAACAACTTTGTAAATGTTTTTCTCTGGTGGCCTTTGGAAGGGTGTTCATTTATCAGTTGTGACACCAATGCCAGAACTTAGTGAAGCTTTGTAGTCAGTATCCCTAATTGATGGTGGCTTATTGTGATTCAGTCTAAACTCACCTTTATATCTTCTCCCTGCTGAGCTGATAAGTGTCCTTCAAAGGCAGGAGCATGTTTCTTAAAAAGAAAATGATGTCTTTTGTCATTGTTTTCTATGGTGCTAGGGATGCTTCACGCATTCTAGGCATGAGCTCTATCTACCATTGAGCTGCAGCCCTCAGCCCTACTGGCATATTTTTGAGGCCATCTTTACATGTTTATATCATCTTTAAAACTTTAGTTTTACAGGTAAAATGAAAGTTGTGTCTTGCCATTATGTGCTCACAGTGGTATTCATGTGTAGCACAGAAATCCAACATCTGAATCCTGAGGGAGGTCCAGGGAATCACCAAGGTACCCACTGAGCTCTGGATCCACCCAGGGCCTCCTCCGAGCATATGGCAGTGGCCTTCTCCAGTGTTGGGGCATGTGGGACACTGGCATGCATGCAGAGCTGATCAGGCTTATCTTCCCATTTCAGTGCCGTCAAGAACCTGGTTGACAGCAGTGTCTACTTCCGTAGCGTCGAAGGTCTGCTCAAACAGGCCATCAGCATCCGAGACCACATGAATGCCACTGCCCAGGGCCACAGGTAGCTCCTGGGACCACCTACCCAGTTGCCACCCTCAGCCTCATCTCTATAAGAACCATCTGCCAGCTCAGCCAGGAACTGCCACTTCTTGCTCTTTTATAAAACTCCCTTTCCTTATCTCACCATGTCTGGGACTTCTGCTTGTACTTTGGCATCTGTAGCAACTACATCTTGAGCTTTGCTATGTGCCCAGTTCAGAGCTGGGTACTTAGGACACAGTGGTGACCAAGACAGGTGGACTCACAGCAACCAAGTATACACATAATGGATGAGAGCATTCCTCAGTGCTTTGAAGGAAGCAAAGGGACGTGGGGCTCAGGAGGAGGTGGACTGGGTAACACAAGCAGAGGTGACTGGGGGATGGTGGTGTGGGGAGTGGGGAGTGTGAAGACCTTGGAACTGGGCATGCTAGGGAAACATCGAAGAGGCAGGGGGCTGGAATAAGTGAGCAAGGTAGAGAGGTGGGCAGGGGCCTCCTCCTATCCAGGCTATAGTCAAGCAGAGGGAGCCTTTGAGCCGAGGCCCAGACAGTCCAAAATGAAAAGCACAGTCCTTGAGTACTGGGGGGAGTTTTTGGAGCTGAAAGTAGCTCTTTGTTTTTGATGTTCATTATAACTTAATAAACACACATTTGAACACATGTGCCTGGGCCATAAGCTGGACTTCGACCTTGGGATGCATTTGGCTTCTGCAGGTTGGGGATTGATATACTTACGCCCCCACACATACCAGGCATTTAGAAAGAAAAAAAAATCTGCTGTTTCTCATAACTAAGACATGAGAATTGTTGAGAACAAAAAGCCTTGTGCCCGTATGTCGTGGGTGTGCCCCCTTCCTCCCTTCAAGGGTGGAGGAGAGGGACGGAGCTGGCTCTTCAGCAAAGATCAGGCTGGGTTGGTGTTGGCAATTGGAACTAGAGTTCACTCAAAAGCCAAAACCAGCTGCTGGATTTCAAATGCTTTCCGGTACCCCACTTGTGCTGCTTTACGAAAGTGCTTGTGCTTCTGAAAGACGTGGTAAGGTGCTGTTCACACCTCTCTCTGCAAGTGCTGAGTGTGACGCACCCAGTCCCCCATGGGTGAGTCCAGCCTTTGCTTCTGAAGTGGGCAATGGTCCCATGTATGCCCTGAGGGCCCAGGCCAGGAGTCTTGAGGGACCAGAGTGTGAGGTCAGCCTCATGGCCTCTGACTTGGGCCTCACATGTTTTATTCCAGCCCCGAGGAACTGCCCCCGCCCTCCTCAGCCTGATCCTGGAAGAATCCTGAAGGCCCCTGTCCTCCCCCAACCCAGGTCAGTGCCAAGGGTGGCTTTGAGCTTTTCTGCTCTAAACTAACCTGCCCACTTGGCATCTGAGCAGGGACCTGCTTGTCTAACCCCCTGGGCCTTCTCACTGGGCTTGTTGGGTGGCTTCAGGGAGTGGGGAGGAGACATTTGCAGACCCAGAGTGTCTGCAGGGTCTCTGCTATTCAGGGACCTTCTTAGTTCATCTTCCTCTCTCTGCCATCTTCCTGCCTCTTATCCAGGCCTTGTCCCGACCTTAGAGGTCCCCCTACTCTAAAGCTCAGAAGGGACCCCACGTTTCCTCTCTCCTGACAGGGCCCAGTGATTGCTTTACATACCCATTCTCAGGCTGAGCCCTGTTGGGCCGATATCTACAGCTCTGAATCCTTCCTGCACCACCTGCCTGCTGTTCCCTCCCTCCCTGGTCTTTATTTTTTCCTTCTATAAAGGTTACCTATTAGGTGACTACAAGGGCACAGGCTACAACAGGTGAGTGTTGTAGCACTTAGCTATTGTACATGACAAACAATCCCCAAACTTAATACTCTGTAAACTGGTAGTAGATTCATAGTTACAGAAACATGCTATTCTGTTATTTGGCTGAACAGTTCTGCTGGCCACTTCCTGGGGACACTCATTAGAGTTTAACTGCAGCCAGATAGTCAGGTGGCCTCACTTGACTGGAGTGTTGGCTGTGGGGTCCAGGCTCCCTGTGGCCTCTCCAGCAGGCCATCTGGGCTCCTGGTGACCAAGTGCTAGGCAGGCAGCACTCATCCCACCCCCCTGTGCTTCACAGTTGTGGTATCCCACTGCTCAGTGATGTGAGCAGGCCCAGGGTCTTGTAGGGAGGGCTGCACAGGTGATGGTGGATCCTGGAAGATGAAGCGACCTAGCATGGAGAGTATCCCTGAGGAAGACCGATGTGTTCTGTGCCTATAGAGGGCAGACATGGCAGATTCAAGGCATCCAGAGGACCTGTTGGCCAGGTGCTGGGATTATCCTCTGTGCCATGAGGCCCTCTTAAAGGCTAAGGGAAAGCAAGTTGAGACAGGCCCCACACCCTCAGCTGCAGCACCCAGAGCCAAGAGACCATGGAGGTCACCTGTGTCCAGAGAGCACTCCCTGGGCACCACACTCCGCACTTATTGGGCACTTCAGTCAGCCAGTGAGTCCTTACTAAGTGCTTGCTCATAGGCTTGGCTGTTGGCCAGGGAACAATGAGGAATCATGGATTGGAGGTTGCCTAGGGGCCATCTGGGAAGGCCTGAAGCAGGAAAGGCTGCCTGAAGGGTTAGCAGCTGCCCCAGTGTCCCCCACAGCATTACGTGCCAGCTCTAGGCCACACCCATCCTCTACCTCCCACCTCCAACCCTCCACTCCCATCACCCCTATCACATCCCCCCCCCACGGGTTCCTCCCTCTCCCTTGATAAAGGACACTGTCCTGTTGCCCTTCCTTTTCCTGTATCATCTCCTGTTTCCTTTGCTACTGAAATCCCACTGTGTGCAAGTCTTCTGATCTCACCTTTGTCCCTTCAGACCTCTTTTTCCTTCTCCACCCGCTCCCTTCTCTCAGAGCCTTCCACCTCCACTTTTCCCCAAAGCTGCTCCTGCTAGGATCTTCAAAGACCTTCACAGATCAATCATCCCCTGCTTCTCCTGTCCCATGACCCTCAATATCATCTCATTTTACAGAAGAGAAAACCGAGGCTCAGAGAAGCGAGACAGCCCAGGGTCGAGGCCCATGCCCGGAAGCACCAAGATTCACACCCAGACCCTCTGACCCCTCCACATGGTCCTCGGCCCAGGTGCCTCATGGGACAACTCTATACCTCTCAGACTCCTTCCTCACTGCCTAACCTGACCAGAGCTGGGCCCCTGGGTACCACCTTGTGTAACCCAGAGGGATTAAAGACCAAGCCAGTGGGGCCAACACAGACCTGTTCCTGCTGAAACCTCCAGGCCCAGCTAAAATCATCCCAAGACATGCCTTTTCTTCCTACACTCTTATCTGCTCTTGGATCAATAATTGCCCCCATGATAATCCTGATTATGTGTCCACTGTGTGTGGTATGCTCCTCATGAGTTGTCTCCTTTCATTCTCAGACAACCTCTTGAGGCAGGTATTACCCCAAAATACAGATGGGAAATGACAGGCTCCAAGAGATGGTGTGACTTGTGTCAGGTCATGCAGTTTGAGAGCAGACCTGGGCTCTTAAGCCTCCTAGTTTGGTCTTAGCCCTGCCTCTGACATGCTGGGTGATGTGGGGCCTGGTGCTGGCCCTCTCTAGTTCTCCCTTTCTCCATCTGGACAAGGAAAGCTGTACTGAGCATATTCTATAGGCTGAGAGAGGGAAGAAGAGGAGAATGGAAAGCAGGAAATAAATGTGACCTAATTGGAGGGCTTCTTGGAATTTTACTGGAAGCTTAGGAAGGACCTGTGTTTATTCTACCAGGATAGGTAGATGGAGGGAGGGACACCTAAGAATATTTCATGGGGCCCTGGATCCAGCTGTACCTGAAGTTAACACATTTCAATTCTTCAATTACCCTTTTACCAAAATTACTTTGACGTATTCCTGCAGCTAAGTCCAGAAGAGCCAGTGCTGAGTCCTGTGAATTCCAGTGTCACATGTCCTCAGTATGTACACCTCCAAGGCCAATTGTGTGCAAATGTTAGCCCCTAAATTATTTGTTCCAATAAAATGTATCAGGAAGATCAGAATAAATTGTTGGGGTAGCCAGGCTGCATCTCAAGCACACTCCCCAGCTTGGCAGTGAGGGGGAGGGGTGATGAGGCCCAGAGGCTCCTAAGGAGAGAATGGGTCCTACTGGGACACTGGGCCTTATGAAGGGGATCTGGAATACAGGAGTATGGAGAAATGAGTCTCCCACCGCCAGGAAGCAGGGCTCAGCCCTCCCTCTGCCCTCCTAGTGTGTACCGGGAGGCTTCTGTGCTGCCATTGTAAATGACTCTATGGGGGAGAGAGGAGTCTCAGGTCCACCAAATTTGGGGCCCTGCCTGCTGTGGGGTCTGTACAGTCAGAGTCATTTGCTTGGCCTGAAGTTATCTCAAGTCGTCCAACTGTCTTTTCATCTGTCCTCCACACACCCATTTATCCAGCAATCATTATCCCCACTCCATAAGCCTGGGGATGCTCCAGAGCTAGGCAGGCCAACACGGACAGCAAGATCACAACCCATGGGACAGGAGACAACTGAGATAACTGCACATATCCCAGACTGGGGGAGCAGTCATGGAGTGTTCTAGACTCTCCTAGGGCACCATGTCACTTACAGCCCCCGACTTCAGCCAGCAGCTAAGAGTTTGCTCCTTTCAAGGGGGTTCTGAGAGCCCGTGGGAGTCCTGCTTAATATGCATCTCATTCACACTTCGGCCTCTCCTCTGGGGGCGCCCCCGTTTGCCGCCAGGGGGCGCCAAAGATAAGACCTAGGCCAGGAGCTTGGCCTCATCTAAACACATTATCTGCAGCCCGGCTGGTCTTGGGGACACTGTGACCATTCTCCCTTTTTCATCTTCTATACCCTGGCTCCTGTTCCTCAAGAGAGTAAACTGAGTTTCCAAGGAACTGGATTACCCAGCAGGGCCTCATCTGGTCCTGCACCATCAAGAACAAGAAGAGCCTCTTGTCCCAGGCCCTGCTCAGTAGAACTTGCCCCCAGATGGCTCAGAAATGGATGGGCAGCTGGAAGAGAGGGAAGGAGCCCTCGTGCCATGGGGCATTCAAGCAGAAACCTAGTGGTCACCAGGTTAGAAAGGACCTAGAAGGGATTCCAGGAAGTTATGTGTGGCACCCTGCCAAGCTCCTTCAGATATGTAGATGGGCTGAAAGGAGACCCAAAGAAGGCAGCACCTGTCCCTAGCTGCTGTGGTCAGGAAGAGAATCAGACTTCTCTTCAGCTGTCTTTTTGGCCTTAGCACCTGGTCCAAGTCCTGGTTTTTACTTCAGACCTGCTCTGCCATAGACCCCTGGGAAGCCCCTTCCTAGCCCTGTTGTCTGCCCCAACATGGCCCCAAGCTTGCTTCCCATCCTCCACCCACCCCTCAGACCTTCTCTGGGGCTCTGCAGTACTTCAGGAGACCCGTGAAGACCTACCTTCGGGGCCGCCATGCATCTGCTTGGCCCTGAGGAGCCAGAGTTGAATGTGTAGCCCCACCCTGCGCCCTGCCCCTGCCCCCTGCCCCTGCCCAGTACTAGGACTCTCTTCCCTGTCCCTGCCCCCTCCTCCCCCACCTTGCCCCTGGACTAGGTGAGAGTATGGGGGTGGAGAACCCCAGACTGAGGAAGCACAGGGATGGCTTTTGGAGGAGGGGACTTTGTAGTGGACCTTGAAATGTTTGGCTCCTCCAGGAGGAAGGGTGGCTATGGTCTACACTTTTTACATGAGCAAAAAAGCTCATAGGGGTGAAGTGACTGATCTGAAGTCACACAGCAGGTACACAGCAAAGCTGGAACAGGGAGGCAGGGTTCTCTAACCCCAGCGCCTTCCCACAATGTCCTTGTCATGGAAAGTCCTTCAAAGTCTTCCTGTGCTGACATTCTGGAAGAGGATCTGGGAAAGGGGGCATGGCTCTCCATTTCCCCTAGCCTCCTCCTTCACCCAGGCAGTCCCCTCATCTCCCAGGATCCCCTCCCTGGACCTCCGCGCTGGCCCTTCTCTCCCTTCTCCTCCAACTTCATACTCAGACAACTCAGGGTGTCCATCATCTAAGAAGGCTGAAGTGGAGACTCAGTGCCTTGCTTATGGACAGAGTAGTGATGAGAGAAGGGACTGGGCAGGAATAAGGGCAAAGGCAGTAAGGAGGGACCATTGTGGGAGAAAGATCGTGAATGATGGAAGGGGGGCGTGGGAGCCTGAATAGTGGGAGGGGGCAAAGTGGGGGAGGAGGGGGCAGGGACAGGGAAGGGAGTCCTCGTACTGGGCAGTGGCAGGGGGCACGGGCAGGGCGCAGGGGAGCAGCTCCAACCAGCTGGCCTCAGCTCCACCACCAGCCCTTTCTACCACGCCCCGGCTGCTCCCAGAGCTGCTCCAGCTGCCACCCTCACGTAACCAGAGCCTGCCTGTTGCATCAGAGGCAGGCGGGCAGCCACGGGTAAACAGAGCATTCCTTGGGGGGCCTGGGGCTCCCCAGCCACCTCCATGCTCCCCAAGCCTTGTTCTGTACCTTGAAGCTGAGGCTGAAGCCCCCAGCCCGACCTGAGCCCTGGTGTATATTCGGGACACCTGAGGGTGTAGTATTGTGTACTGGGTGGGAGCAAGGGACCCACTTATGGCACAGCATGAATCCTAGTTTTTATGTCCAAAGAGAAGTTTGTGACCAGACTAGAAGTCCAAACTTCCCACGTCACAGACAGGTAAACTGAGATGCGAGGAGAGGCACGAGCCTCCCAAGTCCCTCTGTTCCCTGCCTCAGTGTTCCCCACACCCGGGCATCTTCCATGTGCTTCTCCCTGAGTCCACGTGTTCAGCCACATCTCATTGTCTCCTGAGAAGGTGGACACTAGGCAGCCATTGGAATCTGCTCTCCCCTGGTATCTACCCCCAAGTGGATCCCCTCCTCTTCACTTCCAAGCCCCTGCCTGGGTTCCACCCCCACCTGTTCCTACTGCTTCATCTCTCTCCTCTCACCCTGACCCTTGACCCTGTCAAAGAATGTTCTGTGCTCTTCCTCTGCACCTTTGCAAGTGCTGTTTTCTCTTGAAAACTCCTTTGCCCAGTGGCATGCTCCTACTCATATCTGAAAGCCCAGTATAAATACCCCATCTTCTGGAAAGCCATCCTTGACCCCTCTGGCACAGTCCTTGCCCCTAACTCTCATCTGTCCCAGTGTCCCAACTCTTCCTATGGGAAAAGTTGACCCCACAGGGACGGGGAAGTAGGCACTCTGTCTTCCTCAGACTGGGGACTTCCCCAGAATTCTCCTGTCTAGAACTATCTTCATCCCTGACCCTGGACTCTGTAATTCTTTCCATTTCAATTCACTCACCAACCCCCCTCCATTCTCTAGGTCTGGCCCTGTGGTCCTGGGCCCCCAGGGGAAGATTGAGAGGTCTGGGCTAGGGTCCAGTTTTACAAGGCCCACCAGAGCTGACTTTTGAAGTGGAAACAGCAGGCAGAGGGGAGTGGGAAGGACAGGAACATGGATGGTGGAAGAAATAGGATATTCTTGGGACTGTGGGAAGAAAGGAGACTGGGATCATGGGATCAGCAGCAGAGGGTCTGTCACCGTCCTGTGGAGGCACCCAGACTCACAAGTCTGGAGGCAGGAGGCACAACTGGGTTAGGCCACATAGGTGACTCCACAGCCCCTTGATGCAGTTCCTGCATCTGTATGAGAGGGAGTCAGCTGGGTCCCTGGGAACAACAGGATCCGGGATCCAAGTTATATTTCATTCCTGATGGAACGAGTCCAAGCTTGTCTGAGTTAGGGAAAGGGTCCAAATCAAGGTTAGGTTAGGATCAGGGGTCTACAGTAAGGTCAGAGGCACCCAGCAAGGGGCAGGGAGGCCTGGCAGATCTCGCTAGTGCTCTGCACTCGCGTGCGCGCGCGCGCGCGCGCGCGCGTGTGTGTGTGTGTGTGTGTGTGTGTGTGTTGCTGGGGTGGAACCCAGGGCCATACGCAGGCTAAGCAACAGTCTGTCACTGAACTATACTTCCAGTCCTCTTTCCCCTCTTAATTTGCCAGCGAACTTGGAGCCTTCCGATTCCCCGCCTTAGAACTCTCGGGGCGGGGCCACGCCCAAATGTCCGCCCACCGCAGCACCACGGTGACGCCCTCTATGCAAATGATTTTTTCCCCGCCCAATCATCTCCCAGGGGCGGGGCCGCCCGCTGGGAAGGCACCTGTGGCCGCCGGCGCCTGGATCTGTGTGTGGCAGCAGCGGGTCTGGGAGCCGATTCCTGGGACAGAGCAGGTGGGTGTCGGGTCGCGTCTGATCGGGTCAAGACTCGCGCGCAGTCCTTTGAATGGCTTCTGTGCTCTGGGCTGGGTTTGGAGGTCGGGTGTGCTGCTGAGCCTCCGAAGGTTTGCGTATGTGTGTGTATGTTCAAGGAGTTCACTCAGAGAGGGTATGAATCCCTGAGCACAGGTCTGAGGGTTGTTTCTGAGTTGTGTGCCTGAGAGGTTGTGTTTCTGAGAGTTTGTGTGCCCAAGGGGCATGTGTCAGGTTTTGATGTGAGTTGAGGAGATTTGAACTGTGGGCAAACTGTGACGGCCTGAGTCCCTGTTATATGTCTATGAGTCTATATCTGAGATGCACTGTGCCCCTCTCTGGGTGTGCACATTTGGTATCAGCAAGACCCCTTTGCACAACTGCACACTGTTGTACTCTCCTGTGTCACAGTGAGAACATGGGCACAGAGCCCTAGAACGTGGGACCACAGCTGCCTGTGGGCCATCCTCTTCCCTGTGCTTCAAGACAATGGTGCAGGAAGAAGAGTCACAGCCTTCTGAGGTTGTCAGCACATGACAAGCTGGTGGCAGCATTACTTCACAGTCATGGTCTCCCCTCACTGCCTCTTTCAGGGTTCGGGGCTGCAGATGTTGGCAACCCAGGTCCCTGGCCACCCCAGGCCCAGCCAGACTGGAGAAGGCAGACATAACTGAGGCCTCATGCCTAGCCTCGCAGAGAATCCTCTCTGAGGACAGTCAGGACCTGTGGACCCTGAGCATATGGGGACAAGACTCTTGGAGTGAAGGAACTTGGGCTCAAAAAGTACTTAAACTTTGAAGGACCAGTGTTTGAGGTTTGATTCCAGAGGTCAGAGGGCTTCCTGAAATGGCAGCCTTGTTCTCCTGACCCAGGCCTGTCACTTGCTGCTTATATGAAGTGTGGAGCCAAATTTGGCCTCCATAGAACAGAATTTGGGGCGGCTTTAGAGATTTCACCTTCAAGAGCTGGAAGCTAGTGTTTTGGGTTTTTTTTTTTTTTTTTTTTTTTTTTGAGGTGGGGGACTCAAACAGGTAGATATACCCAGGCCTCTTGGAGAAAGGATTGGGCTCAGCCTACTCCTTGGCCCTCTGAAAGCATAAAACCAAGGGCGAGGGACCCTGAATTTGGCTTCCCATCTTCAACTAGTGATTTATTTGCTTAAATCATAACCAACCAGTGGACATCTGGAAAATGAAAATTAAGAGAAGAAAGGGAATTAAAATAATTGGAGGCAATGAATATAGACAAGTTGGGAAGGGAGTCAGTCTTCTGGAAGATTTGAAGCATTTATGTACCTGGAGATAGATAGATCCCTTTAGGGGGTTTGGGAGCTCACTCTGCCCTAGCCTGTGAATCCTCACAGAGATTCCCATTTCTCTGCCCCACAAAACGACCTCCCTGTGTCTGTGTCTCTAAGACCTGTGCAAATGTCCTGATACCCCTGAGGTGTAAAAATGAGTGTCTAGGCACCCCCATGGTGATTCTGGGTTGAACATTCAGTTCTGCTTCCAAGACTGTGCAGGGGCTATGAGTTGGGGTGTGGCAGTTTGGCCCTTGGGCCCAGGCTTGATTGTGGACCTTGGGGTCTTGCCATTTGGCTCCAGAAAAAATGCTCACCTTCTCTGGTATAAAGAAGGGGCACTGGCTTCGCTTCACTGGGCCATTTGTGGGTCAGGCAGGTCCTGGGTGTAAATGAGGTGGAGTATGGGCCTGCGCCTAGAGTAGGCACTCAATCATAGGAGGTGCCATCTGATCTGTGACCAAGCAGAGGTGCCTAAGAGCGCCATCCAGGCCTATCCTCACCCCATCCTTTGCTAGGGGCTGTTCTCCTCCAGGTCTAAGTTCACCCAAAATCAAGGTAGAGACCTGAGAAGGGAGCAATTTCAGTGGGGTGAAATCAGGAGTCCCCATTGCTGTTGACACAGGCACACCTCATCCACTTCTTTGGTCCACAGCCTGCCTGGCCCCACCATCTGCTGGATGCTATCCTGACCTCCTCCCCATGACAGCCATGAGGTCTTCGGTGAATCTTGAATCTTGAATCAGACCACAGCCCTCACCTGCTCACACACCTTCCATAACTCCCTATTGCTGCCAGGTGCGGTGGGGCATGCCTGTCATCCCAGTGACTTGGGAGGCTGAGGCAGGAGGATCACAAGTTCAAACCCAGCCTCAGCAACTTAGTAAGGCCTTAAGCAACTCAGCGAAACCCTGTCTCCAAATAAATTATAAAAAAGGGCTGGAGATATGGCTCCGTGGTTAAGTGCCCCTGGGTTCAATTCCTGGTACACCCCCCCCCTAAAAAAAGAAAACTCCTTGTTGTTCCGTAGTGCTCTCCATCACCCTGCCCCCACCTTCCCCCCAGCCTCTGTCTCCAGCTGTCTCAGCTTCACCTCACCCCGACAAACCAACCTCGCCTGCTCCTGAGACCTGCCCAGCACATTCCCACCTTAGGGCCTTTGCAGTGCGATGATTCTATCAGCCAGGCAGGTTGTCCCCATATCCCTACATGGTAAGGCCACTTCTCCTCAGAAAGGCCCTTCTGGACCCTCTGTCCAAAGCAGCTCCCTTCCCTGCCACTTGCCACAGCCCCTGCCTTTTGAATTTCTCCTGGGCCAGCCATCCCCCAGGCACGGTTATATATCTTTCATTGCCTCCCCTACCATTCCAGCTAATGGGGAGCCCAGGCTCTGTCCACTCCCTGTTCCTGTGTCCATGACATTTCTGGGGGTAGACAGTAGGGACTGGGGATGCCCTAAAGTCACATCCCAGGGTTCCAGCTGGCTGCATCTTAGGGCTGCCAGGCTGTGGGCAGGATCCCTTCCGCCTAGCCCAGCACTGACAGATGTGCTAATTTCCCAAGCAGGGAGGCCTGGGCCTCTGGGGATGAATTTCTGGGGCCCCACAGGGAGATCTTTCTCTGGAACAAAGAGAGGGAAATCTTGGGCTGTCCCTGCAGCCGCCACTGAGGCTCAGGGGACATTGCTGGGGGCCTTTGGTGGCTCAGCTGTGGGACAGCAGGGTCAGGCTAAGTGTGGTGTCTCTCCTGGATCCTCAGGAAGGTAAGATGGGGTGGGAGGATCCTCAGTTTTCAGTGACCTTGATGAAGGACAGGCCTTCTTGGCAGGTGAGCATGCCTGTGGCAGGCCAGGTTTGTGTTGGGAGACCTCCGGATGTGGTTTCCACTCAAGCTGAGTAGTGGGACCTCCAGAGGGTTGGTTGCTTGGCCCATCTAGTTGGCTGTTGTACTGTGAAAACTTTTCAGAGCAGGGGTCTCAAACTTGTGGCCCACAGGCCATATGGGGCCTTCAGTTTGTTTTGTGGGCCATGAGGTGTTTAAAAGAAAACTGAGCAGCTTGGGAGGCTGAGGCAGGAGGGTCACGAGTTCAGAACCAGCCTCAGAAATTTATCTGAGCAACTCAGTGAGACCCTGTCTCTAAATAAAATATAAAAAGGGCTGGGGATGTGGCTCAGTGGTTAAGCGCCCCTGGGTTCAATCCCTGGTGAAAGAAAGAGAGAAAGAAAGAAAGAAAGAAAGAAAGAAAGAAAGAA